CTAGGCCTGAAATGTCAGCTTTCCTGCTCCTCTGATGCTGCTTGGCCTGCTGTGTTCATCCAGCTCTACACCTTGTTATCTCAGATTCTGCAGCATCTGCAGTTCCTACTAGCTCTGAAAATTCATAATATACTTTCCAGTAAGAAAGATAACCATAGGCTAGGTCAATCTGGTGCTGACCTTTTCTCAGCTCTCCCATTTAGTACGTAAAATTTTACGTAAACTCGCCTCAGGACGTTTTCCTTCCTATTCTAGGAGATTCCGTGAGTGGAAGATGACCAAATTAGCAGTGTAACTTGTGAATTATGAGGGTTGATGAAATTGCTTGGAGTTCCTGGCAGTGATAGATTGGATGGTCTTTTCCTGTCATTTAGTATATTTATCAGGAGAGTATTACAGTTCTTTCATATCTTTTTGATGACAAAATTGGGATGTTACTTCACCAGACTTTGAAAAGGGTACCAACCTCAGGTATAGCAAGTCCTAAATTGCATGAGAAAAGATGGTGACAAGTAGGAAATGCTTTACGTGTATAGAGCAGCAACTTCTACACCTGTCATACAACTTTAAAATCTCTAAAACAAAGGAAGGAGAATATGCAAAGATACTAGCAGCCAATGTAAAAGAGAATCCACAAATTTTCTACAGGCAAATAACAAGTTAGTAAAAGGATTAGGAATCTAAATAGACATTTCACATGGAGGCAGAGGGCATCGATGAAATAATAATTCATACCTCACATCAGTTTTTACCAAGAGGATGCTGCACAAGTCATAATGAGAGAGGAGGTTCAATATTGATGAAGAAGTGGATTTTGATAGGCTAGCTGTACTTAAAAGTTGATATGTCACCTGGACCAGAAAGAAAAAACATGAAAAAGGGGGAAATTGAAGATGCACTGACCATAATTTCCAATCTTCATTAGATACAAGGATGGTGCCAGAGCATTGTGTAATGACAAACCTTACAACTTTATTCAAAAAATGATGTAAAGCTAAGCCTAGGAACTACAATATTTAAAAAAAAAAATAACCTTGGTGGTGGGAAGCTTTTACAAATGATAATTCAGAATAAACTTAAAAATCACTTATGCCAATCAATTTGTTAAGGAAAAATTGTGTTCAACTAACAAATTAACTAATATTCCTGACTAAAACAGAAGTTGCAGCAAAAGCTCAGCAGAACTGTTCTGAGGAAGGGTCACCGGACCCAAAGCGTTAACTCTGATATTTTCTTCACAGATGCTGCCAGACCTGCTGAGCATTTCCAGCAACTTCTGTTTTTGTTCCTGATTTACAACATCAGCAGTTCTTTAGGATTTGATTTAATATTCCTGACTTTTGTGATGAGGTTACAGAGAGGTTAAGTTTGGGAAATGTGGTTGATATGGTGGGCATGGACTTCTGAAAGACATTTGAAAGTGTGCTGCACAATTGGTTTGGGCACAAAGTTAGAGCTCATGGATTAGAAGGAATGGTAGCAATATTGAGACAAAATTGGCTCAGTAACAGGCTAGAGATAGGTAAAGGGTTTTTCAGACCAGTAGAAGCTTTACAGTGAGGTTCCACACGAATTGTACAGCTAGTAAACAAAGTTTTCAACTGTATTTCGGTACACATGACAATAAAATCAATCAATCAATATGGAATCCTGGACATTACAAAGAAGAACAGCGAGTACAAAAGTAAGGAAGTTCTGACAAATCTCTCGAAAAATTAGTTCAACCTTAATGGGAGTATCACATCCAATTCTGGGCATTACGCATTAGGAAGGACGCAAGAGTATAAGAGAAGGTGCAGAAGAGATCAATGAAAATGTTTCCAGGGATAATGACCTTCAGTTACAAAGGCAAATCAGAGAATCTGGGACTATTCTTCTGGGAGAGATAAAGATTGAAAAGAAATTTAATAGATGTGTTCAAAATGATTGGATGTGGGCACAAGGAGTCTGGGCATAATAGGCAAGGAGAAACTGTCCCCAGTGGTGGATGGATTTAGAACCAGAGGACTCCAATTTAAGGAAATTGTCAAAAACTGTAATGGTGACACGAGAAAAACTGTGTTTGTACAGCAAGTGGTTAGGACCTTGAATTCATTGCCTCCAGTGTGGTGGAGACAGATTCAATTGTGACTTTCAAAAGATAACAACTGGATCATTATTATAAGATTAAAAAAAAAATGCAAGGCAGTAGGAAAAAGGTAGGGCAGTGTAGTCTTGCTCTTGTAGTCAACAGTCACAGAAATAACAGGCTAAATGGCCTCATCCAGTGCTATGACATCCTCTGATTCCAAGACAAAATAATTATTCTAATTGATAGTCTGTGGTGAAAAACAATTGCTCTCATACAGAGTTTCAGTCCATAAAGGCTCACATAAATTAGTAACTGCTGCCTTTGTATTTCAGAACAATCAGGTGATCAATGTTTTGAAAGTTTCATCCCAGGTTTATGACATCCAACAGACATCAA